TACATAGAGGCAGAGAGAGAGGTCTTCCATCTGCTGGTTCACTCTTCAAATGGTCGCAATGGCCAGAGCTGGGTTGATCAGGAGCCAGGAGCCTCCTCCAGGTCTCCCATGCAGGTGCAGAAACCCAAGGACCGGGCCATCTTCCACCACATTCCCAGGCCATAGCAGTGAGCTAAGCTAGATCCAAAGTGGAGCAGCCAGGACTCCCAACTGGCATCCATATAGGATACTGGCACTGTAGGCAGCAACCTCGCACTCTGTGCCACAGCACCAGCCCCCAGTCCCACTTTTAATTCCAGCTTCCTGCTAGTGTGCCCTCTGCAGAGCAGCAGGTCATGGCCCTAGTAGTTGATTTCTGTTACCATGTCACCACTGAGTTCCCAGCTCCCACCTTCCTTCTGGCTGTTGCATGTGAGGAGTGTACCACTGGACAGGAGTTCAATGCCTCTCTTTGTCTGGCTCTCAAATAAGTTAATTTCTTCAAAAAAATTTTTTTGAGATTGATTTATTAAAAGGGCAGAGAGGAAGAGACAGAAATTTTCCATTCACTGGTTCACCTCTCAAATGCCAACAATAGACAAGTCTGGGCCAAGCTTAACGCCAGGAGCCAGGAACCCTGGTCTCCTACCTGAGTTACAGGGACCTGAGTATTTGTACCATCTTCCACTGCCTTCCCAGGCATGTTAGCAGGAAGCTAGATCAGAAACAGAGCACCTAGGACTTAACCCAGTACTCCTTATGAGATGCCTGTGTCACAAGTGGTGGCTTAACCCACCGTGTCACAACGCTGGCCCCTCCCGATAAATAATTTTTTAAAAATTAGTAATATAAGAGTCAAAGAGGTATAGTAGAAAGAATAGTAACAAGAAAATAAATTTCTGGGCAAAAAGTGGTATCGTCTGAGGTATGAAGTAGTTTTTCACAGGTTGTGGCAGGTGCTCCTCTACCTGGTGTGTCTCCTCTCTTTCATCTCTGCCTAAGTTCACTGCAGCTTCCTGTTCTTTAGAGGCAGAAACAGGAAGTAATTTGAAAGTAGAATTCTGCAGCCCACATAACCGTAAAGAGAAGGTTGCAGATGCTTCACGTTTTCTCTTTGCTCCCCACAGTTTTTCTTGTTGATCATTCTTTGATTGGGTTGTTTTGTTTGGATTTTCCTCTCTATGACCAGCTTGCTGCTCCAGAAGAAGCTTCATAAGTTTGAGTTGGCCTGTTTAGCCAACCTTTGTCCAGAGACTGCCGAGGAGTCAAAGGCCCTGATCCCAAGGTTAGTACAGCTGTGAGAAGTTCTATGTGTATTGGATAAATTCCTGCAAACAGAATTGCTGTGTCTAGATGATGTATGCATTTAAACTTTGGAGAGGTATTACCAACACTGAAAATCCTTGTTAATAATGTGTGATGGGGTGCCATTTGCAGCACCTGCATCCATTGTTGGTGATCCCAGGCATTTGACAATAAGAAAATGAGTAAATGGATCATTGTATGGTTATTATTAGTACATCTGTGAAAGAATTAAAGAACTAGAACAGTATGGAATAAGTGCAACATACGCCGAACTAAACTCAGAGAAAATTGCAGAGTGTGTACAGTGCAGCTCCGTTTCTTATAAGTACACAGACAATATTGCATGTTGCTTATGAATACATATAGAATAGAATAAGTGGGGCCGGCACTGTGGCACAGTGGGTTAAGCTGCTGTCTGCAGTGCTGGCATCCCATATGGGTGTTGGTTCGAGTCCTGGTTGTTCCACTTCTAATCCAGCTCCCTGCTCGTATGCCTGGGAAGACGGCAGAGGATGGCAAAGTCTTGGGTCCCCGCACCCATGTGAGAGACTTGGAGGAAGCCTCTGGCTCCTGGCTTTGGCTTGCCCAGCCCTGTCCATTGGGGCCATTTGGGGAGTGAACCAGCAGATGAAGAATCTCTCTCTCTCTGTGTAACTCTGCCTTTCAAATAAATAAATTTTTATAAAAGTCAAAAATGAATAAGAATAAATATATGTGTAGGAAAAATTGATGCCAAATTTAGGATATTGTTGACCTGGGGAAAGGGGAGGGGATTGGACTGAGGGAGCACATGCAGGGCCATCAGTTGTTCCTGTTATGCTTACTAAAGATATGTAAATCAAATAGAGATGTCTGTTAAAAGACTTTTTTGTGCCTTTTATGTGTGTGAAATACTTTCTAATTTTTTTTAACATTTATTTGAATGGTAGAGCAACAGAGAAAGAGAATGAACTTTTCTATCTCTAGTTCACTCCCCAAACAACCAGGTCTGCATCAGGCCTAAGTCAGGAGCCAGTAACTGCATCCTGGTCTCTCATGTGGGTAGCAGGGGCACAAGTCCTTGGGTCATCTGCTACTTTCCTGGGTGCAGGGAGCTGGATCATAAAAGGAGATGCCAGGATGTGTACTTTCACTCTGATGTGGGATGCAGTTGGTGTCGCAAGTGGCAGTGTTGTCCCCACTTTGTAATATTTTCGTAAGGACAAGCAGAAAAGAGAGTTAAAAGGTAAAGCTGGCCGGTGCCGCGGCTCACTAGGCTAATCCTGCGCCTGCAGCGCCGGCACCCTGGGTTCTAGTCTCAGTTGGGGCACCGGTTCTATCCCGGTTGCTCCTCTTCCAGTCCAGCTCTCTGCTGTGGCCTGGAAGGGCAGTGGAGGATGGCCCAAGTGCTTGGGCCCCTGCACCTGTATGGGAGACCAGGAGGAAGCACCTGGCTCCTGGCTTCGGATTGGTGCAGCGTGCCGGCCGCAGCAGCCATTTGGGGGGTGAACCAATGGAAAAGGAAGACTTTTCTCTCTGTTTCTCTCTAACTCTGCCTGTCAAAAAAACCCAAAAAGGTAAAGCTGTTGGAAGTATGGGCAGTCACATTTCAAGGAGGCCTGTGGGAAATTTGCCAGTCATTCATTTTCATTTCTTTGTATTTTTTTTTTCTTCATTGTAGCCTGGAGGGGCGATTTGAAGATGAGGAGCTGCAACAAATTCTTGATGATATTCAGACAAAGCGCAGCTTTCAGTATTAATCTCCAGACTTCTCGGCTGCTGGAGGGAACCACATGCCCAGCACAGCATCACCTTCCCTGGGTCTGGGGTGTCTTGCACAGAAATGCCACTACATTTCCTCTGGAGAGCACAGCCCAGGATTGGTTCAGGTTGCTGTTGAAATGTGACTGTTAGACCAGGATGAGCACATAGTCTTGGCGTGGCTTTCTAGGGCACCTGGCTTTCTGTGCCAGGAAGAGGGTAGGGGTGAGGTATAAGCTGTTGACTGCCTCATGCTATGGTTTTGGGCTCCCCTGTAGTTATTTTTACTGTTAATGTTTTCATATTTTAATTTGAATGTGTTGATAGTTTTTAGTAGACTGGGACAAGGACATAGGAAACTTATGTAGGGAGAAAACGGTCTTACCTAGATGTGAAAGGAAGAATGAAACCTGACAGGTGTTCATGGCTGTGAGAGTATTGGCGTCCTTGTGCCTAACCCAGGAGGTGGGAAGCAGTGAGATCTGGGGCACCTGTGCTCAGCGTTATGGGGCCCTGAGCCTTGAGGGACATGGCTCCTTAGCCTGTCTTCTTGAGCTGTCTTGCAGAGGGGATTTGAAGTAAGTGGTTCATTTTGTCGCTGTCACACAAATTAAGATGTTTCTATCATAGGCCCGACTTGGAGTTCTGAAGACTGGGAAGTCAACTTCAGGCATCCAGTCCATGCCTCTGGCTTGATCCTTAGCAACAGGTGTTCCATCATGGCGGGTGGGATGGGAAGGAGGGTTCCTCTCCTGAGCTTCTTCAGTGGAGTCACTCAACCTTAGGCTGGGTTGTAACAAAACATTCTAGAGTTGATTTTTCTGAGGGAAAATAAGCAAGCTTATTTGTATAATTTGAAGGCTTTTCTTTCAGACACTTGCTGGCCATACATGGATTTGTGATGTAAGGATTAAATCAAGGACAGAACAAATTTGGCTTTAAAAGTTGAGGTTGGGCGGGTGAGTGTCATGGTGCAGTGGGTTATCCAGCTGATGGGAGGTGTCTCTGTCTCTTAAATAAGTAGAATAAAGAAATAATTTAAGGTCAGGATACTTTTATGTTAACTACTGGTTAAGGCAAAAATAAAATATTTTTATAAATTCTTTCAGTTTCTGAAATGGCTTCTTGATGACCAATGTTTTTAATCAATGTTGGAAGTTTTTGTTCTTGGGCAGCTTCACTTCCTTCAGCCTCATCTATGTTCTTAATTGTAAAACGTGAATGGTAGTACTTACTGTCTACCATGTGGGTGTTTTAAGATTGGTAAGATTATCCTAAGGAGCCTACAGGTGTCTGACACACAGTATATCCCCGTGTTAGATGTGATTTGTGCCTCTAGCAGGTAAGCAAGTGTAGATGGATGGTGTCAGCTCACTTTATAGAAAGTAGGATGCCAACCCAAACTGAAAACAAACCAAATTACTTGATCCTTAAGTATGCAGAATAATAGAGGCAGTTAGCTGTGCCCCTTGACACCCTATAGAACAGAACAGACCCGGAAGACAGCCCCTTGTTAAGATCCAGGTGTGGGTGCTAGAAGGCAAGAGAGCAGCATGGTCCCACCGTTGTTACTGGCATTCCCACCTGTGAGCTCTCTGAGCATATTAAAATACATGAAGACGGGCGAGTGTCGTGGTGCAGTGGGTTAAGCCACTGTTTGGGATGGCTACATCCCATATCAGAATATCTGCTTTGAGTCTTGGCTACTCCGTGCTTCTGATTCAGTTTGCTGCTCATGTATCCAAGAGGCAGTATTTGATGGCCCAAGTATTTGGGTCCCTGCCAAATAGGAAACCTGAACAGTTATTGGCTCCTAGCTTCAGGCTGGCTTAGCCCTAGCTTTTGACATTTGGGGAATGAACCAGCAGATGGAAGATCCCTCTTCCTCTCTCTGTCACTCTATCTTTCCAATAAAATAAATCTTTCAAAATAAAATTACTCAAACCAAGGAATTACTTGTTAAAGCAACCTCATACCTCCCAGCCATTCTGCTGAGCAGTCTGTTCCTGCAATCCTGAGGCATCTTGTTGTAGAGAGGAGTCGGCAGGAGACCTGGAGAATCCTTAACCATCTGTGAAAACATGGTGAGGCTCACAATACCATATTTGCAAAAGCAAGAAAGTGGAGACACACTGCAAGAAAACAAAAGGATGTGTTGTCAAACCCTTAGTTCACCAGAAAGCTAAGTTAACCAGAAGAACCCTCTCTGAAAATTTTAGAGCTTAGTCTGTACCTGCTGTTAAAATCCCTGAATCCAGGACACTCAGTGATTAATAGAAGCTCATTTCTTAAACAGTTCTGGAAGCTGGGAATTCTATGCTCAAGGCCCTGGTAGCTACCAGCTCCTGCTTCCTGGATAGAACCATACTCTGTCCTCCCAGCAGGGCACTTAGAAGGATGTTCATCTCATTCACGAGGGCTCTGCCAAGACTTGACCATCCCCTAGTGGCTCTATTAATAGTATCACATCAATGATTTCCAACTGAGTCACACTCAGACCATAGCATCCAGGCATTTGGCTTTAGAATGTAATAGAATTGAGGCTTGAGAAATAGCTTGACTAGGTGGGGCTCAAGCATCACTGAACCATTCTTGGTGGTGGCCATTAACGTTTCAAGTTTATATAAACCACTGAAGCCCACAGGGTTTGCCAGTGCTCTGATGTTTTTTCACCTTTTTATTATGAAAAACATTTTTTAAAATATTTATTTGAGAGGTAGAGTTACAGAGAGAGAGGGAGAGACAGAAAGGTCTTCCATCTGCTGGTTCACTCCCCAAATGGCTATAATGGCTGGAGCTGGGCTGATCCGAAAACAGGAGCCAGGAGCTTCTTCCGGGTCTCCCCTGTGGGTACAGGGACCCAAACACTTGGGCCATCCTCTACTGCTTTCCCAGGCAATAGCAGAGAGCTGGATTGGAAAAGGAGCAGCTGGTAGTAGAACAGGTGCCCATATGGGATGCTGGCGCTTCAGGTGGAGGCTTTGTCCCACTATGCCACAGTGCTGGCCCCTATGAAAAATTTTAAACGTGCAGAAAAGCTAGACGAGTATGTTGATCACCTGCATGTTCACACCTAGACTTAAACCATTTGCCGAGGGGCAGGCATTTGGCCGAGCCGTTAAGACAACTCTTGGGACTCCTCCATCCTATACTGGAATGCCTGTGCTCGAATCCCAGCTCCCTCCTCCATTCCAGCTTCCTGCTAATGTGCACCCTGGGAGGAAGCAGATGATGGCTGAAGTACTGGAGCCCTTGCTGCTCACATGGGAGACCTAGATTGTGTTCCAGGCTCTTAGTTTCAATCTGACCCAGCCCTGGCTGTTGGGGGCATTTGGGGAATGAACCAGTGGATGGAAGATCTTTCTCTTTCAGAAAAATGCTAAAAAAGTTAATTAAAAATAGGATACATTTTCAAAATGAAAGACAAAGTGGTAAGGTATAATAAAAGTGAAAATCAGGCCTGTGTTGTGGTGCTGCCCATATGAGTGCCAGTTCAGGTCCCAGCTGCTCCACTTGCAATCTAGCACCCCTATTAATTGGAAAGCAGCAGAAGATGGGTGAAGTCCTTGGGCCCCTGCACCCAAATGGGACACCTAGATGAAGCTCCTGGCTCCTAGTTTGACTTGGTCTAGTGCTGGCTGTTGCAGCCATTTTGGGGGAATGAACCAGCTTCAGTAGACAAAGGTAAAAAAAAGTAAGTGGGTGGCTGTGGCACAGCAGGTTACGCTGCCCTTTGGGACGTCCATATCCTATATGAGTGCCCGCTCCAGTCCTGGCTGCTCTGCTTCTGATCCAGCTTCCTGCTAGCACTTCCTGGGGAGGCAGCAAATGATGGCCCAAGTGCCTCAGTCCCTGCTACCCATCTTGGACACTCCTAAGTACTCAGACCTCTTGGCTTTGGCCTGGCTCATCCCCAGCTGTTATGAACATTTGGGGAGTGAGCCAGCCAATGGAAGACCTTTCTCTTGCTCACTCTGCATTTCAAGTAAATAAATAAATAAGTCTTGGTGTGCTCTTCATTTGTATTGTGATGATTTTGATCTTTAGTGGGCATTGCCTTTACTGTGAAAATGGGTACAACCCAAGTTGTTAAAGTACTGCTGTAGAGGGTTTTGTACTCTCCCAGTGCTGTGGAATATTTCTTACCATTATTTCCCAGTTTGAGGCAGGTCTTGTGGTGCAGTGGGTAAAGCCACATTTGGGATGCCACCATCCCACTTGGGAGTGCCACTTGAGTCCCAGCTTCTCTGCTTTTGATCTAGCTTCCTGCTAATGCACCTGGGAAGTGGCAGACAATGGCTCGAGTACTTGAGTCTCTGCCTCCCAAGTGAGGGATGTCGACTGAGTTCCTGGCACTTGGCTTTGACCTTGCCTTGCCATTCGGGGTGACAACCAGCATATGGAAGATCTCTTTCTGTCTGTCACTCTGCCTTTCAAATAAGTCAGGAAATCTTTAAAAAAATTTTTTTCCTCACGTAGGCATTGTAAATTTGAATTGAAACCCACATCTGGCACAAGTTTCAAATTCTGATTTCTCAGGCGAGTGGTTTTTTTTTTTTTTTTTTCCTCTTAGATTCACAGGTCATGGCAAGCATCCTTTTCTCGCTGAACCTGTGAGTAGGATCCTCCCTGGCCTTGAGCAGCCAGCCCTGGCTCATATTTGGGGTCTCAGTGCTATGTTCCTGCAGGCCTATCCTGAAGACCCTCCTAGGAAATCAAACAGGCACCTGCAGCAGCCAGACCTGATGCCACCTCTTGGCCCCATCTGAGGTCACTGCAGTCACACTTTGAAGCCCACCACACTGGCTTTCAGTTCCTACATGGTTTCGCTTTACTTTCTGGATGTTCACTGTGTGTTTGCTCTTTTCAATGGGAGCTAGGGGCTGGGTGGTTCCATCAAGATGGTATTTCTAGGTTTCTGCGTGATGAAAGGTTCACTCAGTGGGAGTGTGAATGCCTAGGTTGGGAGAATTTCGCCTCCCACCTGTCCGTCCACCTTCAGCCCCTGTGAACTCCAGGTTTCCAAGGCTTGTGTCTCCTGCTGGGAGGAGAGCAAGCTGCCCCCTCTGGTTAGCATGTCAGATGAATTCCCGTCTTTGGAGACTTGGCCCAGCTGTTCCCTTCTCTGTCACAATGCCTCTAAAAATGCCCATGAACTCCACAGTTCATGGCTAATGTCTGCACTGTGGCTCAGCCTCATTTCCTTCTGGCTTTCATTAGTTGGATAGATACTGAACCCCTGTTAGCTCTCTCAGACACTGTTCTAGGCTCCAAGGATACAGGGATGGACAAGGCCAGCCAGATTCTCCGTGAGGAAGCTGATGGTTTAGTAAGGGTTGAAATGAAGCAAAGAAGGTAATGGTGGTAATGGAAGATGTATGGAGAAAAGAAAGCAGACTAAGGTGGGGGGAGGGGCAGCGCTGTGGCACAGCAGGTTAAAACCCCAGCCTGAAGCACTGGCATCCCATATGGGCTCCAGTTCTAGTCCCAGCTGCTCCTCTTCTGATCCAGCTCTCTGCTAGGGCCTGGGAAAGCAGTGGAAGATGGCCCAAGTCCTTGGGCCCCTGCACCCATGCAGAAGACCTCGAAGAAGAAGCTCCTGGCTCCTGACTTCAGATCAGCTCAGCTCTGGCCATTGCAGACATTTGGGAAGTGAACCAGTGGATGCAAAACCTCTCCCTCTCTCTGTAACTCTTTCAAATAAATAAAAATGAATCAAAAGAATATAAGAGTGAGTGAGTGGTTGAATGTTGGCTGCTCACAGGCTTCTCTGAGAGGCAGGAATGGTGGGGCAGAACTGCCAGAAGAGATTACAGTGTGTAAAGGCCTGGAGGTGGGGGTAGCTGGTGAGACCAGGATAGTGCATCTGGGTGTTAGCATGCAGCCATGCAGGGAGGGGTTGTGGAAGGCTGTGTGGAGTGGGGCTGGTAGGGACATGTCAGGACAGGGTCTTTGCCAAGTGCATGTCTGTGTGCCCACGCGAATGACCCAAGAACTGAGAAGTCCATTCCCGGGGAAGAAGGTAACTGCAGGAGGAGAGCATGAGGAGGTCCAGTGGCCAAGGGCAGAACTAGGGCAGAAGCAGGATGGTTTCTCGGTTTTAATAGGAAATAAGCAGCAGGTGATGGCTCAACTAGTGGGCTCCCTGCCACCCAGGTGGGAGAGTAGGAGACCTAGACTGAGTTTCCCAACTCCCGGCTTCGGTCTGGCCTAGTCCTGGCTGTTGTATATATGGGGAGTGAGACGGTGGATGCGAGCTTTCTGTCTGCCTCTCAAATAAATACGTTGGGAAGAGCAAGGACATGGGAAGTACAGGCACTCGCAGGCCATGAAAGGTTTTTTTTTAATTTATTTATTTATTATTTATTTATTTTTTGACAGAGTGGACAGTGAGAGAGACAGAAAGGTCTTCCTTTTTCGTTGGTTCACTCCCCAATGGCCGCCACAGCCAGTGCACTGTGGCCAGCACACCACGCCGATCCGAAGCCAGGAGCCAGGTGCTTCTCCTGGTCTGCCATGTGGGTGCAGGGCCCAAGCACTTGGGCCATCCTCCACTGCCCTCCTGGGCCAGAGCAGAGAGCTGGATTGGAAGAGAAGCAACCAGGACAGAATCCAGTGATGTTCTCTTAGTCTACTTGTCTTTCCACATGAACTTCACTCTCTCATCCCTGCCCATCTCTTTCATGTGGCAGAGAACGGGCCCTGACAGCCCCTGAGTTTCATTATCCTCACGCCTGCCAGCTGAGACAGATTGGGTCACACTCTCTTTGGACTCAGATTCAGAAATCCCAGCAATGGACTTGGTTCTGGTGCCTGCCCCTGAGGACGGTCATAGAGATGGGCTAGGAGTCCACATGGTCAGGTAAACAGCGGGGTGGGGGTGGACGTTGGGGCACAGAGGGTCAAGCTGCTGCTTAGGGTGCCCACATCGCATATTGGAACATGGGTTGGTCCTAGTTACCCAACTTCTGATCCAGCTTTCCTGCTAATGCCCTGAGAGAGGCAGTGGATAATGGCCCAAATATTTGGGAGCCTATTACCCTTGTGGGAGATCTAGATGGAGTTTCTGGCTCCTGACTTCAGCCTGGCCGAACCATGGATCTTGTGGGGCATTTGGGTGAATGAACCAGTG